GCGGATGTTCTCAATTTAACAGTCGAAAATTCTATACGATGTATCAACCATACAACTAAATAATATTGTAACTAAATAATATTGTACATTTAATAGATTATAATTGGAAAATTTGATGTAATAAACGTAATTGAAAATAATTTATATATAAGTATCATTCTTGTTTAAAGTTTAATCTTCTTTGAGCTTTATTAGATAATAACTATTTCAAAAGAAAATGCGTTTTCTGTTAAATAATGCATTATTTTAATGTAACATTTTTCCTTACGTAAAACTCACTTTACACAATCTATAATTCGTCAGAATTCAGAATAACATTCTAATTATAATTTTTTGTACCATGAATTATCTGAAAAACAAAGAGGATTTAATATACAGTCATAAAATATTTTTAAAAACAATTTTAAAAAATGATTTTGTTTAAAAGATTAGACAATATGCGAGCGTTTTGATTCGTAAATAATCCCTTTAACGCACAACCACATATCACACGGATTGCTCCAAAATGGTGTAACACCTTGCATAATTACGATGGAAATAATGTCTGCATTGTTGTGAATGCGCGTATTCTGCGAATGGCATGTGGAGAGATATATAAATTTAACACTGCACACACTATGTTGCGCTATCTCTCGTAATAATACGATTATTTCTAGGATTATATATCGCATTAAAAGCTTATTTACTTTGTTATAACTGTTTGCTTAGGTCCACAAATCTTTAGCTTTCACATATATTTTTCTTATGCATTGCATAATGTAAACTGATATAAACTGTATTATAAACTCGCAATTTTTTTGTTATTTAGATTCGATGTAAAAGAGAATTAAACTATTATTTTATTTGGGAATTCAATTTGTTGAATTCATTTTATTGAATTCAATATATATGTTCCATATCAAATTGAAAAAAATTTTTAAATCACATACAATACCTTTGCAGTTTATCATTTGTCATGCATTATTATATTTGCAATATATCATAAATATTGCAGTATATCTTCATAATTTTATAAATTATAGCGCAGTAAGCATCGTCAATTTTCTATCTGTTCGACAGATTATTCTCCTTGACTGCGCACAGAATTCAAAAGATCTTTCAATTTTCTTTTGAGACTACTAAGTATGCAACGATGATAGATAATCTCCACATTCCCGGAAACTCATAAATTCAGTATGCATAACGTTGAGAAATATAGATCGTCGATAAAATGATTCTGTGACAAATTTGATAGAGTGAAAAACATTTGATGCAAAATAAATATACGATGTTAGTATCAAGATCTCAATAAACGTCATTTTGTGGTTATAAAACAAATCTATCCTACCCGCAACAAATAAGCTAGTTCGTTTAAAGCTTAAAATCAAATTTTAAGAATCTTTATCTTCAAAGATCCGTGCGTTTTGTCGAACAATATCAAAGCACATTTTTTCTACTAGTTTTATTTTTAGGTGGACAAGAATTTCTAATTAGCAAGCATCATATATTTTTGAATTCTTAAATTATTCTGAGTAACTTGTATCGTAGAATTCACGAAAAAAAAGAAAATATTCTTAACGTTTTGTATACATCGTGATGAGAATGGCAGTATTATATTAATAGAGTTGCATTCACCACAATTCGTGCTGAATAGTCAATTCTGAGTTTAGATAGCTCGAGGCGAAGATTCTTATTCCATCGGGGCGAAAGTTCTATTGCATTATAACAGAGCGGTAGTACAATGAAAGTTTAACGAGTTATAAGCTCGGCAAGAATCGTCGCGGTATGGCACATGTACGAGATACATATCACGTTAAAGAGAGTACCGGGATTTCCTGTCCGCTAAAGTTAGGACGATAAATCGAACTGGAATGCTAATTCGACTGAATAGTTTGTCTCGCGCTTTGCCTTTTCGTTGCCGAGTGATCCTCTCTGCTTCTTCTCCACCTTTTCTGAGTATATATCCCACAAGCATCTGCTTTCATTTATTCAACTTTCAGAAAGAAAGTAATAAATTGTAATTAATAAATAAGAGAAGATTCCATTTGCCTACGAATCGATTATTTGCAGCTCAACTGCCTACATGCCTACATTTTTGCACACAAATAAAAATTTCAGAAGGACACGTTTGCCTACATGTATTATTGCCTGTATCATTCTCTGCTTTAAAACACAAATTCTGTTTTAAAATACAAATTCTCTGCTTTAAAAATACAAATTATTTTCTGACATAATTTAACCTTAACTTTATATATAAAATATAATATTTATGTACAAAAGTTTGTAGGTAATCGATTTGTAGGCAATAATACGTGTGTGCAATCGGTCTGTAGACAAATGAGATATAGGCAAACGGTATTATAGGCAATCAATTTTTTGTAAACAAAAGGAATCATAAATAAAAGACAAAATTCTTCTAATCTCAATGAATATTATTTAAAGAATATGATTCTTATAATATATCTTTGTAGAATGTAGATGTTTCAAAGTAACTGATATACTCAGAAAGCAGTAATAGTTCATCCATTCGGTACGAAACCATTTCAAAGAACATATCTTTTGATTAGTTTTGTTGGACATTTAAGAAATTCTACACTTACCAACCGTATTCACACCTATCCAGGCATTACCCCCAGAACTTGTAATCCCAGAACTTTCGAAGAGAGCTTACATATAGATGCCGCACAGAAAGGGAGGCGAAAGAGAACAGAAAAAAAGAAGCAGAAGACAGCGGGCGAAAAGAGTGGAAATGGAAGGATTCAGCTAAACGAGCAGATTCGTAATCCTTTTACTGCCGCACGACGAAAGGCTTTGATGCTGACGAGCTTAGCGCTTAGCGACTTCCGTAACCGTGTCAAGCCGGCCTAAAGGACGAGTCGAGACTGAGATGCGTCGGCAAGCCTTTAGCGCGTTAAGAGCCATTCGTCCAGATCTTTTCTGACATTACGTCTGCTTTTGAGATTATATTCCCGAGACTGAGGTACGAAGAATTTACCGCTTGACGAAATGTCACACGGTCTTTCCGTTAAAAATCTTATCCCATTATTATAGATGCAATTCTTCAATTATAAATATCGCTCCCTTATTTTTTTCAATCTTAATTTTCTCTCACCAAAAAATATCACTTTGCTTCACAATAAACGGAAATGTATTTTCATTTCGTATTGGAATGACGCTAATTAATACAATGTATTATTGAAAAAATTCTTAACCGACTTGACTATGAAATGTAATCATCTTAGAAACCGTGAAAGTAATTGAAACACAAAAGTTCTTGAGACGGATCAACGGGCTTTTAGGAAAATATCGATAATGTGCGGCCGTTACTCTTCCGAACAATTGCGTTTGCGAATATCGTAAGACAGGGCGTTATAGATTTAAGATGTCGATGCCGATCGTAAAAGACGTGCCCCTCCCGTACTTAAAACTTCTTTATGGGATGAAATTTGAACTTTAAAAAGATTATTTGCAAGGTCGTAATGATATTAAAGACGTTAGCAAGTACAATTTGAAAGTTGAATTTTCTATGACATTTCGGGCCTAATGTAAAGAAAGAAATAGTCTATTTAATTTTTTATTCGAACATCATTCGCGGTATGATCGTTGTAATTAAATATAAACGCCACAGTCTGAAACTCGACAGTAATCAAGCCGACGTTAAGCTCAACCTTCTATTCAAAAATTCATCAGTCGAAAGAGTTATTAAGAAGATGAGTTCCATCTTCTGAGAAGAATACTTAATGAAGAATGAAATGCTGGTATATCATAAAAAATAAATATCTTAATTATATCCTATTGTTAACATTTTAAAATGTATCGCCAATTTTAAAAGACCTATAATTCATTTTGAATTGTATACTCTTCATTTTAATATATGTTCTGTATATGTATGTATACTTTTAATTACTATATTTATATACTTTTTATTATTATTATTATACTTTTTATTTATATAAATCACAGTATATAAAATTATACACAGTATAGAAAATATAGAATTCTATTTTGAATTCTGACGTACATTATAAAAATAGATTTTAAGTCAATAGTATCATAAAATATTAAATTATGATGTTATTGGAAATATTACGTTGCCTTCCAATTCTATGGATAAGAAATGAATCATTTTTGAGTCACGAGGAGGCTCAGCAAGTTCAGCAAGAATAAAATTCAAAAATATCTAAAATATTGCATAAGTATAGAGTAGATAAATCTAAACATGAAATAACTTTTTGTAGCAATTGATATTCGGTTTTAGGAATTTAAGAATATTATTTTAAATGTTATGTAGTTTTGTCTGACAATGTAAATTCGGTAAAATTTAAAAAATCTGAAACTTTCCATGAATACAAAATAGATGAACTTAATCATGAAACAATTTTTGTATTTAGTGATATGTGATTTTAGGGATGAAAACATCCACCTGAAAAAAATCAGTTTCTAACGAATATTATCGAAACAATGAAAAAATATTTTTAATAAAACTTGCTTTTAAAAGCACTTTTATTCAAAACATTTTTTCATATTTCTTATTGTTACGCCTTATTGTTTACATCCGCTTAAAAACGTAAACACTGATTTCTTTCAAAAAGTGTTTCTATTTCTAAAACCGAAACAGCAGTTACAAAAAAATGTTTTATAATTAGATCCAATTATTTTATACTTACATAAAATTTCAAATTTTTTTTAAATTTTACACTTGCCAGACTTTCACAAAAAGAACTGCATATTACATTTTAAAAGATATTCTTAAATCAGACTGTATGCATATCTTGCTTCCACTTTTCCTTAAAATATGGTATTCCTTACATTATCATTCACAAAAACGTATGTATGGATATACATATGTAAAGTATAAATGTCTGCAATATATTGAGCTCAAGTCCGTTGAGTTTGCTAAGCCCAAATGACTATGTGAATCAGTCATCCCTACGGGAAAGTAGCTTTCTCGCAAGAAATTGTATCTAAACTATCATCTAAAAGAGATGAAAACTGCAGAGAAGACATCTTATATATTTCAGCTTGTCGCCCATGAGAGACGATTGTCGACCTCAGCTTCGCGAACAATGGCTGCAATGAGTTTAGGTTTCATCGTTATGGTCACGCCATGGACGATTCAGGAAGTCGTTGCAGCCTGCACCGGAAGTAAGCCACCGCCATTTCTCGACTTCCTGGCCACGTGGTTAGCTCTTTCCAACAGCTTCTGGAATCCTTTCCTTTATTGGCTGCTCAACAATCATTTCCGCCGAATTTCGAGAGAGTTTCTCTATACTAAGGTAAGAATATATAATAAACTTAAATGTTAATTAGTGTTAACAAGCCTTTTGTTTATTGCATTGATAGGTAAAATATAGATTTGAAAAGGAAATACAAATAAAGCAATAAAAAATAAGTTGCAAAATGAAATGCAGATATAAAATTTTATTTGCTTTGACACAAAATTTCAAATCAAGAGAAAACCATATGCTAATGCGATTAAAATTTATTTTCAATATAAGTAACAAAACGACAAGTTTGATATATTTTTTTTTATCAATTTATTTTAGAATAATAGAATTTATTTCGCTTCTGCTTCCTTGTATATCCAAAAATCAATTCATCCGGTTTCTGCGAATTACATTAGACTATTACGGCCGTAGTCAACACTATTTCATATGTGTGAATTTTACGTAAATTTTGTTATGTACAAATGGAATTGCACACATTCGTGGATGTGTGTTTTTAAACGTCCATTAAAGTTTGTCCGAACACTTATAACAAGTGACAAATAATTTTTCCCTATTAACTGGAAACAAAAGTTGGAAAAAGAAATGGAAAAAAAGAAGTAAAATATCGCGTTTTTGTAAAAGATAAAATCACAAAAATAAGACATAAATATAAATCTTTTTCATGCGCAGTTAATTTGTACATAATAATTTGTTAATAATGATCATTTATAATTAGTAAGTGTATAATAATTATAATTTATAGTAATATTTTGTAATTTATGATAATATATATAATTGCAAATATATAATAATGTTAATTTATAATAAATGATAATTTATAATTAATAAAATGTTTTATATATAAAAATAACGTTTTCATATTCTATATTATAATTCAAATATATTGGATGCAGCAATGTATAAAGAAAATAAAATAGCGATAAGTACATAAAATATAAACTACGGAGAGAAGAAAAGTACAGTAAACAGAAAATTTATACGATTAGAAAGGTTCAATAAATTTGTAAGGCAAACGCTTCCTTTGTTTATCTAGGTTTCTTTTTCTCCCGATCGTTTTATCTTTTCGTTACATCACAGGCTCCGCATTTTCCGGCTTCTGATTTCACGCTTCACTTCTTTTATTCCGCGAAATCAATCGTGCGCTTAGTGCTGCAACAGAATCAGTAAATTTCTCGAAGAGAATGGCGGTTCACGTCACCAGCGTACGAATGAAGATGTACGACTTAACATGACTTTCTAGGAAAACACGATGGAAAGCGACAGTACCTACCTAAGAAAACAAGATTTATCCGGTGCAAAACGCGTTACGCAATGCCCTTGATACTTTCCACGACAGATTCGGTGGTCGATTCCTTCTTTTTCGCTGAATTCTCTTTTCGGATTCAGCAGGCAAGAGGGAAAACGGCAGCTACGTCGCGTAGCTTGGCCGCGGCCACATAGATCTTGGCGCTTCGACTTTACAGACCATGAATTCCGAAAAGCTGTCGGTGCGCAGTAAATCTTTAATCGCCACGCGAAGTGCACCGCGGCCTCCTGTCTACGCAAACCGGATACAAAACTATATGCAAGTACAATAAAATACTCGTGCAGCACGTTTGATATTTCTTTACATTGGCATACGTGAGTTTTGATTGGCAAACGACGAATGAGTTTGAAGTAAAACGATGTCAGTGTATCACGTGGATCAAAGTGTATCATGTGAATCAATTTATTGTATTTTCATTTAAAAAATGCTAATCGGTTAATCGATAAATTCTTAAAATTATAATATAATAAAATTATGAAATTGGAAGATCACAATTAAACATATATTTAAAATCCAATACTACGAGAGAAATTTTTAAATATTGAATGATTCCTATATATTACTTTTTCAGTTTCAATATTAGATTTTATTATAAATAATAAATATCTTGAAGTTTTAATTCAAAAAAATTGTCTTAATATTTGACAAAGAATTTATTATTAATAATTCAAAATAATTCAAATATATGAATTATTATTGGAAAATGTACATAAAAAGAATTATAGATTTGTGCATAACAACTCATAATCTGTTTCTGTATATACATTAAATTTTATGATGGCACAAGTGTTCTGTATGTATTATTATGATAAAACAATAGATCGATTGGCTTACAAAAATTGCTTTGCACATATATGAATATATACTCTTAATAGAGTAAGTACCTTGGGAATCATATGCCGGATATTGCAGTTAAATCTTGGTTTTTACTGACTCAGATATTGCCCATGAAATTTATATAAAACAATTTACACAAGATAGTACTCCAAAACAGATCACGAGTATCATTAAATTTCTTACATTCTTTTCGATTATATTTAAAATAATATGAAAAGAATATATTTTACACGTAACGTATAATTTGTAATGTAAATATATATAAATTAATTGGCATAACCAAACAAATTTTATACCAAATAAAATGTCAAAATGATTTTGAAAAATTATTATAAATATTATTTCCTTTAGAAAGAGGGAAAAATATAGAGAAAAAATATTTTAGCCTGTAAAAAATTCTACCATGCATTATTGTAAAAACAAGGTTATTATGAAAAATAACAAGAAGTGAAAAGTTATTTTTCACAGTTTAAATTGAGAAAAAGCGGTAACATGTAATAATAGTACTGCTGCTATGAAACAAACAAACTCCAACTAAATAATTGATATATTATTTTAACTCATAGTATAATACATTGCTATGTAGAAAATAGTTCCCCAAATGTGTATTTATATATTCAACTGTATCCCTTGAGGACCAACGTTACATTTGAAGCATTCTGTTCGTGCACAAAGTTTATGAAAGCAGCAATATATATCGCTTATAATTAAAGTACTCTATGTTAATCTGATAAATGAAATGCATAAATGCATGCATGAATATATTGCGGCGATGTTCGATTATCAGGGAGCTTTAAGATCAATTTATTATCCGTTCTTACAAGGGAAATATTTCAACCTTATCACGCAGGTAATCAATAAAGCTTATAAAATCTACTTCTATTTGGAACGATTGATTTATCGTTTGCAAACTGACAAGCATTATTCAACCATCAATGCATGTCATGATTGATAATTCGGTTAATTTTAATTTCCTTTTTATATGCAGATTCTGTGCAGATCTAAGCCGTTAGGAACAAAACAACACTGCTGCTCGACTAGCACCGGTGGCTTAGATGTTTGCAGCATTGCAGGTATCGATCTATCAGGTATGTTAAACAAATATTATCTCGTAAAAAAGAAGTCAGTTAATCTGAAAAATTTCTTTATGTTAAATTTCATGTAGTGGCAATGCGTATCAATCAACAATAAAAATGTATAATGAATTAAACAATTTTTTTAATCAAAATTTAAAAACGTATTTATAAATCATTTGCGTGATCTTTTTCTAATAAACAATTTGATTAAATCAAAGATCTATAAAATAAAAAATAATTATAAAAATTGAATTATTATAGTTAAATTAAAATTAAATTAATTAAATTAACAATAAACTTTTCCATACGCTTCGAATCTATCTATTGTGTTAATTACGACAAAATTCATTCGGTTGCTTTTACGTTAATGATCTCGCATCAGCAAGGGGATTAACATAATCAGTGTTTTGCACTAATTAAACCGAGGGGAATCAGTCTTTTGACAGCATCCATTATCAACATTAACTGAATTCTCATGCTCCATATATGACATCCATAAACGAAGATTTAATGTGGTCGCTAATAATAGCCAGCGACATGATTTTCGCGTAAATTCGAATTGCGTCGTAATCACATTTGAAATCACATATCATATCAAACTTACGACTGCTATTATGTTACAACATGTTTGTCATTACTTACCGCAATTGCCACTACGTATTGCGAAACGTTTAAAGTAAAATATTAATAGATCTCTGACATAATTTGACTTTTATTACTAGATTAATCAGATAAAATTTTTAACTTTGTTTCAAATAAAAGCTAGAGAATCAAAATCATCAATTTCTTTTATTATCAAAGTAACTATATGTATTAAGTTCAATATTATAATACTAAGTAATAACATTTTAGAGCAAAAGTGAATATGGGAACTCTTTATAAATTAATGAATTCAATTTTTATCACGATTTTGTTTCATAATATTAAATAAAACAATGTTTTTAATTTTCAGCTATGATAAAAGAAGAGAATAATGCATTAGATAAAAAAAATTATATCTATTAGATACTCTTTCTAATAAAGAATTAATTTTTAATCTGTATAAAAATTAAAAAATAAATGCGATATACTTTCAACGAAATTATAATAATTATGTCTTTCTTTGCAACAATGATCGCGAGAATATCGTTAAATATTACATTAGGAAATATGTTATTAATTTATCGACTTGATTGAAATAAAATGTGCAATGCCCGAAACAAATTAGCTCGTGCACTCGTTTCGAATTTATCGTTCAAAACGATAATTTACACTGTGTGGAAATAATTATTATACGTTATATAATACAATCCTGTTAATAGCGAATATTACCATAGCCAGTGCTTGAAGCTTTCATTGTTCGGATTTTTTTATTTCAGGTTTGGAGCGTTGCTCAATGGAACGATGCTCAATGGCGCGTTGTTCCTCGTTATCATTAGCGAATACACCGCCACTCCCTTGGGAAACCGGACATGTAACACATGGTGACGTAGTATCCACGTGAGGTATACACGTTGCATAAATATATGCTTCTACTCTTATTATTCACTATTTGCTGTCTGTTATTTTACATTATATAGAATCTTATATCTTCATAATATTAAAATTTAATGCTTTTAATCAATTTGCACATACAGTTTTATGTTAATAAAAATGTGCATGCATCAATAATTCTTAAATTACAGAAAAATGAGAAGAGTTTTTGTCTTGAATAAATTTTCATAATTATTAACTCTAGTAATTCATAGGTTCAATGTACCTTGTGCGATTTTTACATTGCTGTAACTTTTTTATAATATAATTTGAAGATCTAGATTGAGGATGAAAAAAAACTTTAACTGTCAAATAGATATGATAAGCTTGCAAGTATATTTTTTTGCGTTATTTTCAATGTAAAATTGCACGAAAGTTCAAAGAAAGTACTTTGGACTCACATATGACCAGCTTGTAAGTTTTGGGTACCCCTTTATTTTTTATTATATATACGTTTACTGAGTTTCGGATAGTATTAAAGTAAATACACGAAAATGTAGAATTAAAAAGAATTATTTCAATATAATAAATAGAAATTTTCTAATCTCTGTCAGTCTTCGGAGATCGCTCGGCCGGGGCGATGTATTGCTTTAGAGCGAGTGTTGCATCATCCTCTAAATTAAATCCTAATAAACTTAATTATATATTATAATAATATTTATATATACTATTATAATGTATTAGGTGTTGGAATTAATTCGTAGCGTTTTACAAGTGATGGGAAGTACTTTCATTAATGTATTTTTTAATGCTCATGTGAAATAAATAACATTCTTTCATTAAAAACGCTACGAATTAATTCCAACACCTAATATATTTTTTGAGTGATTTATATCGTACTATTTTTTTTAGTCCAAAGAATCAACTAAAAAAATCCTGGATTTTTGCTTGAACATTAAATTTAAAAATTTGAAAATTTTTTATTTAAAGTAGTAATTTTTTTACGAATTTTTCCAATAAAATTTCTTTGAAGCATTGTAATTAATTGAAAATAAAATATATATTTGATTCATATTTATATCTGTCTTCGTTTGACTTCAAGGTACAAATTTTACACGTTTTGAGCTAAAAAATACGCATTTAGTCCAGAGATATAGCGTAATAAAGTTCACGAATCCTGGTATAATCAAAAATAACAATGACTTACTAGGAATCAATCAATATTAAATTAATTTTCATAATCACAAAAACTCTTCTAACATATCCAATTTATTATTGATAATCAGAATGTCATAAACCAATCACAGAGCTGTATTAACAACTGTATTAAGAACTTTATAAATACAAATCTTTATGTCTGACGGAAATGATGTCAACAAAAAAAATTTATTACAACAATAAAAAATATCACCTCGACGAGATTGTGTTTTAAAACTGAAAATTTAATTGGCTCCCGATTTGTAGATATGCATATGTAAATTCACTCTGAAATATTATGTATGTACGAAGTTCTCTAGCTCAGATCAAAAAAGCATTGCTTTCCTTAATTATTTTCATATATCTAACATTATTATTATTTATTGCTTTTTTATTATGTAAACAAAATATTGCAAAATTTTTTTAACTAATCTGTTTCAGTTCAAATAACGGCAACAATAACGACTTATTTTTGAAAATTAATAAGTAATAATTAATAATTAATAATTAATAACGGTAACTAGTTATTTATTTGACTCGATAATGAGTAATGGTGACTAATTATTTTTAAAAAATAATTTTTCAATCTTTGCTAATAATAAATGTCAATGGTAATGTCCAGCCACAGATGCCGCCACGCAAACGGAGGATTTCGGATCTCCGGACGACGCCAGTTAGTACAGCGTGGCGGCAAGCCGACATTCGATGTTCCAAAACTACTGGGCACAATATCCGTCATCTACGCACCGATATCTGCAAGATCATGTCGCATCCTCGCTGGCACGAGGACGAGTTTCGCTCATCGAAGAAGAGAATAATCGTGACGATGTAGCAACGTTAGATGGAACGAGTCGTTATCATCAACATGATCGACAGAGTCACTTAGAATTCACGCGTTTTAAAAGTTTACCAGATCTTATCCGAGATATGGAACAGCGATGAAACACTGATTAACGATCGTCGTTGAATCAGAATGTTGCTGTACATCACTGTCATCGTCGTTATTATTTCATCATTATTCTATATAAGAAAGCATGAGCTCATCGATTGCAACAGCATAAGGGAACGCGAATTCCATGCTTCGAAACGAGCGTACACGAAGCGTGTGTCGACACACCACGATTAGCTCTCGTCGCGACGAGATCGATTACGGAAATTAATTACGACACCAACGAGGATACTAATCGCGCCGCTCTCGACGATATACATGTAGATGTTTAATCACGGCGGAGCGCACTGCGAGTGTTAACGTCATTTGCTCCCGCATCCCTATTTTCCACGATTAATTATTCACGCGAGTGTTCGTCCTACAAGCTGCTCACCTAAACACAAAATTGCTTTTTCTTCGAGCGTATAACTTTGAATACTTTTTTCAAAATCTTTTAAGATAAATTCATTTAAAAGCAAAAATTCCGAATGCAAAGCATTTCTTCTTATTCACAGATTTATTTTTTTAATTAATTTATTAATTTAAAGGCAACTTCTTATTCAAGAAATCTTATTTTTAATTTTTTTTTTAATTTAAACTTTTTGAAGTGGCTTAAAAATATAAATATACAATAAAGGAGCATATAGCTAACATATAGTTAACATATAATATTTGTACAAATATGTTAACGCATTAATTCAAAATATATTACTTATCTCTAAAAAAAAACTTTAGCTGTGGCTATATGCTCCTTTATTGTATATTTTTATTTTTAAAGTAAATTGACAAGATTGTTTCAAGTTGTGTAATGTACTTCACGTTAATTAATACTTGCGTATTGAATAATTATGTATTTTGAGAAAAAAATTGAGACAGAACGTTATATTTAAATTGTAATTGTTTGCTCAAGCTCAAGAGCTCATTAGTATGAACTATGAAGACTAATGCGTAATATTTTACATTCATCATTATTATATATATTTTATAAAAAAGTCTAATGAAGAGATAAATAAATATAGATATTTGAAATAACTCTTTTAATATCGCAGAGTTGTATTGTAATAAATAAACTGCAGATAAAATATGCGGCAGCAATTTTGTTTGCATTTTCAAAAAATGCAAACAACATTGCTATTGCATATAGTTTTTTATTCAATAATTTCTCGTTTTTTGTAAAATTTTAAATTGTTATTAGAAATAAGTGATCTGCGATATTTTCTAAGAAGTTTGTTCCAACGATGGTATAATAAGGCAAAAATTAATCGCATTATTTTTATTTAGCATAATGCAGATAGAATAATGCAAAAATAGCCTTGTAAATTAAACTATGACAGATTTGAATCAATTGTAATTGTATATTGACTTTTCAAATGCATATTGTATTTGAAAATATCAATGTGTAGAGTTTTGTTTAAATCATTTACGAAGATAATAATTATATGTAAATAAAAAATTTTTTAATGTGAAAATGGCTAGGGAACTTGTATAAAGCAGAAGCAACCTCTAGTATTGGCCAATTTATTATTGAAAGGCAATAATTAATTTATTTATTTGGCGTTCAGTACTAAAAGTACTGAACAGTGCTCTTAAAATAAGTACTACTTAAAATAAATAATTAATTACTGTCTTTCAGGCAGTATTAGATTTCAGTAAAAAATATTAAATAATACAGAATTCAGAATAATTAAAAGAAACGCGGAAATAGTATCTCTGCTTTAAATAAGAAACACCGAATAGATATCGTACATGATTTAATGCATTATATGTTGATGAAATAAAATCTTATATGTAAGAAGAAATTATCTTCTACTAATACTTAGAATTTTCTATTCAGCGAAAGATGATTGAAAATGGAAACATTAACGAGGTCGACGACGCCTTCATAATTGCGTTCTCATAAAAAGAGAATCCTCTGAAGACTTTAATATATGTGAAATAATTACGCTCTTTCAATTTATAATTAGAAATATTGCGCACCGCTCTGATGTAAAAAGATTTGTATAAGAAGTAATACTCTTTATACGGCTTCTCGTACTGCTAATTTTTTTTAAATATATAAATTAATTTTAAATATTATATATTGTTTTAAATGTATAAATTAGTTTTTATCATTTATCATTATAATTATCTAATTTTCCTTAGAATTTCTCTAGCCTTTTTAAAAGTTTCTTTTATTTTTTTATTATTCAGATGTCATGTTTCGATGTATTAAAAGTTTATGTTACATCAAAATGTATTTCTTATAATATGTATATTTATATTTATTTTATATTAACTCTTTAAGATTTTATTAATATCATATTCATTCTTAATTTTTGTAACATATTTATAAATTTTATATTATTATGAGGATCATTTTAGATTGAAAAAAATATCTTTTTTCATTATTTTAATTTATGCCGTGAAATATATAGTTCATGACAGATAGAATTGCGTATATCGTTAGAATATACTAACTAGTGAGTAAGTTTTTCAAGAATTTATATCAAGAAACATTTACATTTCACGACGCATAGTCACGTTAAAACAAAAATTGATGCTATTAATGAGTGCCTGAGTGCTCACATAAATCTAACGATTATTCGCGTATTCTAAACTGACAAAATCCACCTATTTTATCCGTTTAAATTAATAAATAGCCGGTGGATCATTATGTACTTGTTTTCAAATTGCTAATAACCAAGTATGTGTGCCTCAGACGGCTCAGACTCTTTGAAGCATCCGTTTCAAGAGCCTTATTCCTCTTCATCTAAGATCTCATAAGAGGTTGTTCAATGAAAAACCTCCTGTATTTGTATATTTAGAAAGAAGTAAGTGGAATGTCTAATTGATTACGAATTTGTACGTACTTTCATACGTATATAAGCGATTGAATCATATATATTAAATAAAAGAGATAGTCACTCATTCATCACGTGAATAATAAATATAAAAAAATTGCACATATTGTCGAGAAAGCTATTTCATTTAAAAGAAAACTTAAGTTTATTTCAAGTTTACTTCTGTAGGAAGTTGAAGGTATTTCTAAAAAATAAATATACATTATTGACGTTATTATAGCTCTTATCATATTCATTTTACATTTTCAAGAGACTAATGCAAAAAAAAAACTCAAATTGTGCCAAACTAAACAAGTAAAATTATATTAACATTATACCGCGTTAATTATGTAGAATATTTTTAATATAAAGTCTTACAAATTATGTTTTTTAGGACTCTTAAACGTAAAGATAAAAATCTTTTTACATATGTTAGAAACTGCTGATTTTTTAATTAATATTTTAATATATTGAAACAGAACAAATTTCCATAGAATTATACATATGTACATGTACTTCCGAAACAAATCATACCATAAAAACTGCACAAATCATTTTGAGCAATGTGGAAAATGATCATTGAAATCTCTTAGCGCGATATAACTTAAATGCAAATTTAGTATTAATACTTGCGATGTAAAAAACGATGTAAATAAGAATAAGAAGAGACATCACCTCACCCTTTTACATAGTAAACCAGTGTGAAGGTTCGATTGGAAAAGACAGTAAAAATGAAACACTGCCTGCAAATGATCATCATCGGCTCGAGACTGTTTATTGTCTGCGATGATGTCTCGATTTACGTTAAGTAATGAATCGAATGCAAATTGTTTTTGTATTCAATAATTCAACACATAAATGCGCATGTATAGATAGAGAATTTTAGATAAGATTATTAGCCAAAAGCAAAACGGCGATTAGTTAGATTATTAAAGTAAACGTGAGACTTTTAATAATCCACTGAAATTTAGTAATACCACCGAATAAATGCCTTAAGCAAAAAATCTTTTATAAATCGGCATGGACTGAAAGAAGAAAGCAAATATTATACATATTCTGCAAAAAAGTGCTGGAACAATGCATTTAATTCGGCTATTTTTTGCAGAGTAAATAAGAATTGAGCGCCATAATTCATTTAAGTATAATAGCTGCGTTTTGTATTTATATTTAAATTATTACTAAGTTATTGATTATTGTTGACATTGTAAATCACAATCTAATAAAGTCTCAATTATTTCTAGAAATGTGATAAATTCGAAGAACTATTTGAAATACAATCAAATTGATGTACACATTAGTTTTATTAATTACATGTAAAGATCATAAAAATAATTCTCGTCTCTTCTTATTTTGCATCTTAACACTAGAACTATAAAAAAAAGCAATCAAGATCTATAATTTTTATAATGGTTTACTTTTTGAGATGTTCTTTGACTTTTGTCGCAATGTTAAATGATTAAACTTATTTCTTTATTTTCTTCGTTTATCTCTTTTATTAAAAAGATATATTATATATACATATATTCAACAGTATATTCAATAATATATGTATAAAAATATATTCAATGTCGGTAGTTCTAGTGTTTTGAGATGAATAAAACGTGCGAAATAGTTATTGCGATTGTCGCTTCAAAATACTTGTAATCATTCTGTACAAGAAACGTTTCGAAGAACAGAATGATTATACAAAATTACAAAAAATAATGCGAGAATGGATCATACTACTATTTGCTCGTTGGATCCACCGTGGTGGTTTGAATGCAGTGATTTGCGCATAGACAGCGCGTTGCACACAGAAGTGCCAAAGCTAACTAAAGATGTCAAAATATTAAACTCTTTAACGAATGAATTTATTGTTAGTTGAAATATTCTGTTGCTTATATTCCTAGTTAATTTCAATAAAAAAATTATTATCATATATATAGATTAATTTCAACAATAAAATAATAATGTTCGTTACAGTAATAAATTGATATAACGTCGGTTATTAATAACAAAACTCTTTAAGTATATATATATAATAACACATTTGTACCATTTCTCGCGTTATCTATTTTTGA